GCATTCCAAAGCTTCCAAAATATGCAACTCATTTGCATTCATGCAAATCCCTTTTCCTTTGAAGTAAGTTCATTGTCATTGTTACCACGACTAGGTAATAAGTGACAATGTGGCACTTCTGTGAATGGCAGCATCACTCAAGGACTGAACACATTGGCCCATCAAGAAGTTCCTCCTGACTGAAGGAAAGCAACAGCTGACATGTCTTTAATTCTTTTTCCAGGTCTCTGGGCTCCAGCCTGACAGATACCAGGCAGTGATGTTTGTTAAGTGAAGGACCATCGACTTTAGAGCACGTTAAGAATCTTTTTCACCCAGTTATTTATAGATATAAAGTCTAGACTTCAAGAGTCAAGTGATGTGAAGTGAAGCGAAAGCCAAGTAGCACCAATATTTAAGTCTGGATAAGTATTGGGCTAAACAAAAAGTCTGAGGAAATCTTAAGCTTGGCACAGTAGGACATTGATCTTTTCTGAGGAGGCCAAGTTAATTAGAGGGATGGAGCACCTCTCCTAAGAGGAAAGGCTGAGACAATTGGAATTGTTCAAACTGGAAAAGAGAAGGGTTTTGGTCACCTAATTGTGGCCTTCAGATACCTGAAAGGAGCCTGCAAGAAAGATGGAGAGAAATTATTTACAAGAGCCTGGAGTGACAGGACAGGAGGGAATGAATTAAAACAAAAATACAGTAGGTTTAGTAGGAAGAAATTTTTCCCTGTGAGGGTGGTGAGGCTCTGACACAAGTTTCCCAGAAAAGCTGTGGCTTCCCAAAGAAGTCCCATCCCTGGAATTGTCCAAGGCCAGGCTGGATGTGGCTGGGAGCAACCTGGGATAGTGGAAGGTGTTCCTGCACATGGGAGGGGGTTGGAACTGGTTGATCTTTAAGGTCCCTTCCAACCCAAATTCTCCATGATTCTTTCAGTCAGTGAGATTTGCTGTGCAAAATAGATTTGTGCACATTCCTTCTTAACAAAGAAGTAGAGAACTGGTAAATTCCTTCCTGTGTTGCTGCTCTTGCTAGATTAAAATAGGTGGCCCCTGTGTGAGCTTGAGCTCTTTTCCTATTTTAGGGAAGGATACATATACAGAAAGCTTGGTTCCAAAACTGCTCAGAAGAGTCAGAAATGTGATGCTTTTAAAAGTGCAAAATGTTTTCAGAACGATGTGGGTCTTTCTTTGTGCCTTTGTAAAATGCAATGGAGCTGTAAACAGTGTTTGAAGTGGTGGAAGTTGAATTAGAGCAGTTTAGATAAGGGCTGTAGTTTTTGAGTGTTATTCTGGCATAACTATTAGGGTTCCATACAGAGGTAGCATGGAAAAACAGCTTTTCTAAAACACAGATAATTTCCTTTTGCCATGGGCAAAAATAAAAAAAAATAAAAATAAAAATATATTAAAAAAAAAAAAAAGGAGCACTAACTCATATTCAGGTCAACTTTCTTCTCATTTACAAGACAAACAGAAGCCTACAAATTGGACAAACATGCACTTGCTTTCATCAGGTTCCAATACAAATATTAGCAGCTGTGTTGTTGACACTTTCTTCAGAGGAAGGGAGGATTTAAGGATTCTCTTCTCCCTAACACCAATCACAAAACTGATTCCATGGAAGAGTACCACCAATCAAAGTACAAACTTGCACATATGAAATAGAGATGCTCAGTGTGAAATACTGGGAATGTTTCAGACTTTTGGGGAACTTACAGCTCAGCTGAGTGCCCATCTACGAGTATGGAAAGGAGTGATTGTTGCTGTTGCAACCTCCTCCAACAGAATTTACTTCTCACAGTGCCAAGCTCTGAATCCTTGGATGCTTTGGCTCCAGAATCCTTCTGCTGCCTGGACAGTAAAATTTATTGGAGATGAACCTCTTCTGGCCATCTGAAGATTTTCCCATCTGTACATCAGATCCCTAAAGCTGTCCTCCTTGCGTGTCAGAACCTCCTGGAATATTTAAGCCCTGCTGTGTTGTCCTTCCAGTTGATATTGGGGTGGTTGAAATCCCCTGTGAGGATCAGTCTGCAAAGGTGAGGCTGTTCCTCACTGTCTGTAGAGGGCCGAACCCACTTTGCTGTCCTCCTTTTAATCCTGACCCATAAACTTCCCATCAGCTTCTCATCCATCCCCAGGCAGCTTCCCATGCACTCCAGCTGCTCTCTCTATAAAGGGTAACTCTTCCTCCTTTTCCTACCCTGCCCTTCCTAAAAGAGCCTACATCCCTCCAAGGCAACACTTCATCAAGGGGCCAACCCACCACATCTCCATGAACCCAACAAAACTGTAGCTCTGCAACTTCACACAGATCCCTTAACACCTCAGGTTTATTCCTGATACTTTGTGCATTGAGCACCCCAGAGTGCTCAGCTCCTGCTGAGGATTTGGGATTTTCATCCATGATGGTGGTGCCTGGTCGGCACCTCCCTGCTCACTTCCAGTTCTGACAGTGACCCTGCCCACACCTCATTTTGGTGGCTTTGGGAATCCTTCCTGCCACACCACCCTGTGTCCTTTTTTCAGCAATCCTCTCCTCTGCTCTCACAGGACTGCTGGTCACACCCTCCCTCTCCCACCATTACTAAAATTCTCTTTCTGTGGTGGATCCCATCTCTCCAAAGCAGCTGCAAATCCCCACACGGGGTCCCAATTGAGCCCCAAACCATGCCACCAGCACCAATTCTTCAGCCAATTATTGTTTTCTCCTATTAGTGTCCTCCTGCTTGCCCTCTTTCCCCTCATCAGCAGCCAATCAAGCTGCACTGGGATGATTTTGCCAAGAGCTCCTGCAGGATTGTGTTGGGAAAACTCTGCTGATTCCCAGCTAAGCCAGGCCATTGGCTTGTTTTGGTTTCAAAGGCTTGGGCTCACTGATGGTGATTTATAATTAAATATTTGTATCAAAGAGATGCCAGGAACTTGGCCACAGAGTTTGTTTGCAGAAGACACAAAATAAGAGTGATCATCCTCTCCCAAGTCTGCATTCTATTTCTTCCCTGAATGGCAGAAATTGCTGTCTCTCCCCTAGGGAGAGAGTGTTATCAGAGTGTTCATTAAGGAGCTGGCCCACATGCCAGAAAATCTCCTTTTAGATTTTTGTAAGAAACAAGGGTTACTCTGCCTGTGCCGGGCTCAAACCAGACAAACTCTCCCCACAATTCTCCCCAGCTCAGGTGATCCAAAGAGGGGTTTTCTCTGTGAGCATTTTCAGAGGGGCTCATCTCATATTCCCTGGTTTTTTATTTTCCCTGAGTTTTCCAGACAACCACACACAGAGCTTTAATTCCATGCATGTCAGAGGAATGGACTGAAAAAAATAAAACAAGTGCCAAGAGAGCTGTCTCTTGTCATCATGGAATTTTCACTGTGGGGGTTTCAACATCTCTTGCCTCCTGATTCTTTATCTCCCTTACTTTTGTGTAATATGAATGTCACAAGATAAACAGTAGGACCCTTCAGCAATTGGCTGGGAAGATACCTCAATTGCCTGTCAGGATTAAAAGATAATCCTTAAAAAAAAACTGTTAAAAATCTGCTGGAGTGTAAGAGGAACAACAACAAAAAAACCCACAAAAAACCTTATGTTGGCTCAAAGACAAAATGTCCTACTTAATCTAACAGCTCCTCACAGGGAAGTTAATACTGGGATGGCTTCTATGCATGGGTAAAGTCTTAAAGTAATAAATATTGCCTTAAGAAAAGGAGTTGTGAGGATCTTGAAGCTAGCTGATGTATGTTGTCATGTCCCTCAAGGCATTAGCATCTGATGTGCTTTTAGAGATGAATCGGGCTCCAAAGTTATCCATGCAAGAAAATAAGCTTTCAAAACAGCATCATGAGGAAAAGAAATAAAATAAGTAGAAAAAGAAAAATGTACTCAAAACTGATTTTAAATAAAATTTTGAATTTTTTTTGCTGCCCCTGTGAACCTGAGTGGTGTTTCTCAGAGGGGTGTAGATCACTCATTCAGTGTGAAAGAAAGTATTTTATGCTGAGATATGAACTTGCCAAAGAAATCCAGAGTGATTAATAAGCAGCAGAGAAGAGCTTCCACTGTTAAAATCTGCATAGGGCTGTCTTAGGACTTGTTCTGGCTCCCAGAAGCACCAGTGAGAATTCCAGCTGAGCCTTTGGGTGAGAAATATCCCCACAAATTCTGCTGCTCTGGAGCTTAGATCCCTCAAGCAGCCTTTAGGACAATTAGCTCCCAATTTTGGAAGTGGGCAGTTGTTTCAGAAGTACCACATATTATTATTGTACATATAAAAACAAGATATAGAGAAAAAAAGTTTATTTTTCTTGACATCATCAGAAAAGAGCAGTGACAAAGGTCGGAGAGAGCTGATCTAAAGTGTCTTCTCCCTCTGTTCACAAGAAATGGTGGCTCCCAGTGATGGGCTGCTCCTAAAGATAGGACTAGGAGTTACTCTCATCTCTTTTCCCAATTTTCTCCACACATTTTTTTCCTAGACATTGGTAGCTGCAGAACAAGAGCAGATCAACTAATGGGCAGAAACTTCAGACTTTATATGAGCACATCTTGATGTCAGACTTCCATAAATTTAATTAGACACACCCTGATATGTGGAATGAAAATTCTATTTATAAACAAAAAGCTGCTTAATTTTCTCTAATTTTAACAATCATCGTCATCATAATTGCTACTCCTATTGTTGTTTTATTGCAGTTCCAGGTAGAAAGAAAGAATTGGATCACTTTCCAGTTAATGCCATATGTTCTCCAGCTTCCTTTTCTGCAGTCAAAAGGGAATGGATTCATCTCCCTGTGAATTCTATTTTATGCTAAATCTACCAGCAAACTGTCCATAACATAAGAACCTTATTGCACAGGGCAGCTTGTCAGATCCAACCATCTCTGGATGTACAAAGTGCTCAAAACACAGTGAAAATGATCACAGTATCAACACAGGGCTGCTCGTGAGGGACAAGACCATGTTGGGATGGTGGAAGAGAGAAATAAAGCCCATAATTTTCATGTGACACCTACCTATTGTGTCTCCTTGCTCGTGCACCATGGAGGCCAAGTCTTTGATGATCTGGTTCACATCCAACATGTCGCTCTGAAAAGACAGAAATCCTAACATTACCCAGGAATGGGGAATATCCAAGTACGAAAGGCACGTTCCACAGTCCAGCTTGGCAAAGAAAAACACAAACCCAGGAATCTCCAGCAGCAGAGAGGTGAAAGGGAAAGTTACAATGCTCCCATAATAAAAAAAATTCCCTCATGGAATTAGATCCAGTCATGGTTTGATGGATCTAAGTCAGGCAGCTGACTCAATCTTTGTGAGAGGAGCAAGTGGAATGATCAGATTGTATGTTTGCTTTTCAGAATTGTGGAGGACTAAGGAAAAGCAACAAGAAAAACAACAGTGGCAAACCCTTCTCTTTCATAAAAAGTTATTGGTGATGCAGGCCATTCCTCCTGGACTGTTTTCTCCTACACAGATAAAGACCATCTCAGCACAGCAACCATCTGATGCTATTCATAAACTGATGGATACAATCAAAAACTCCCTGAATTTAAAATTACCTTTTAGGTATGGCAATAAGGAAAGAGCTGTTTGATGAACAGATTCATTTATATGTTTTCAAATAGTTAAAAAAAAAAAAAAGTAACTGCATTCAGCTCTGAAATCTTCTCTGTGAAAACACAGCAAATTACCCACGAGTTTGTTTCCTTAATTTCTGAACACTTACCATATAAAAGAGCAAATGTGAGCATATGTTGACATCATATGACACTGTCTCCTCTAAAAAGAATTAATTTAGCAATAATAGACATAATAATATAGACACTGCTAAATTCACTACCAGTGTGGCAGCATTACCAGAGCAGAAAAAAAGGCACTAAAAAAGGATGTATATTTTTTCAGCCTTACAAGTCAGAGAATCACAGGAACCTTTGGGCAGGAACCTTTGGAAATTATTTAGCCCAAAAGCCCTTCTCAGAGCAGAAAACTAAAGCAGGGTGCTCAGGGCATGGTTCTGTGTGCCTCCAAGGATGGAGTTTCCACAGATTGTCTGGCAAGCTGTAAATCCACGGAACCCTGTGTATTGTTTGAGCATGGCTGGATGACAGGCACCCACCAAATCTGCTCTACCACCCTCCCCTGTAAGTAAACAGGGGACTGAAAACATAATGAAAGACCAGGAGACCTTGCCCTCCAAATATCATCATGGGCAAAACAGACAGATATTAATTGAATTTATTACTAACAAGATCAGAGCAGGATAATGAGAAGTCTCAGAACTGTCTGGACATAATCCTGTGCCTGTGCTCTGGGGTGGCTGGAGCAGGGAGGTGGGACCAGATGGCCCCACTGTGGTCCCTTCCAGCCTGGCCCACTCTGGGATTCCATGCTCATCCCAAAAGATCCAATTGCCTCCACCACGCTTTTTAAAGGACTCCATTTCCCCACTAACAAATTTAGAAAATGGTGCAGAATGAATCCACGTCCTCCTACTGAAGTTTGCTATGAGAATATAACTGGCATAACACTTCAACACGTAATGCAATAGAACTGCATCAATTTAAAATGAGGTCTGGGAGTCCCACTGTGAGGGCTAGAATAGACCAAATTGTTGAATAACTGAAGATGGAGGAAAAGAAAAAGATTGAAAAAGCTGTGAGAACTCATAATAAAGCAAAAAACACTCCCCCAACCAAAGACTGAGTAATGCACCACAAAATGTACTTCATTCCTTGATTTGTCAAGCATAATGAAGCTTTAATTATGGATGGTATTATTCCTAACTTGTAAATACTGCAGAATATTTTGCAAAACAATGAAGTTTAAGCAGTGTGTTAGTAAATCCTTACTGGGAAATGAGGAGAAATTAGTGGAGATTTTTTTATTGTGTAGGGAAATTTTCTGAGCTTTTTGTAAAAATATTTTAAGGGAGAATGTTAAAGTTCAGCAAAATGTGAAGAACAGAGAATTAACTTTAATGTCTTGCACTGCTCTTGTTTAACTGCTTTGAAAAAGATGATTAAGGAAAATAGAGAAAAAAAAAAAAAAATAATACTAAAAAAGCCCAGAATGCTAATTTGTCTCTCTTGGCTAAATTGTCACTGACATAATTTTCTGTGTCTGTTCCTTGCAATATAAGCACAATCCTTTCTACACTTCAGTCTGCTTTATTTTGTTGTGCTTCTTTTTCAGCACTTTAAGTGAAGGTGGCTTAAAACTCACGAATATATTTTTGCACGTACATTTGGTTAGACAGAGTTTTTTGCAATATATTGAATTACACGTGCCCCCACCCACCCCAAGCATTTCCACTGGAATAGAAAAGATGATACATTGATTTCTTAGAGCACCCTTCCCAGGTAATTTAGCCACGAGGAGCTGGGCTGTCTATGTCCTGATCCCCAGATATTGGGTGAGGCAGAGAAGAATGACAAAGAAAATTCAACGTTGTGTGCGAACGGTGCTGGCTCAGCTTTGCCATTTGTATTCAGGTACTTGAAACCAACCATCTGCAGCTGCAGAGTATAGATCCTTTCCATAATGTTGCAATAACACTTAAAATTACTGTTTAGCAAATATGCATCAGTGAGAGCCAGCTCTGAGTTGCGAGGAAGGAAAAGCTGCGACTACTGCACTTGAGGAAAAACAAACGGGTGAGTTATAAAGCACAGAGCACAAAAACAACCTGACCTGAAGCAAGAAATCTGTTGAATAATTTAACCTGGCAATGCGAAGTTTCAAAGCCCTTGATATATGTAAGGAAAACAAAGGAAGAAATAGAAGAAAGAAAAATATCCAGAAATAAAGAGCTTCCATAATGGAATATACCTTGGAGCTACACTCCTGATCCTTCTTGCCAGGTCTGCTCCATCCCCAAGTACCTCTGAACTTGCCAGGCATCAGAGTTTGTTAGGAAAATCAAACTGCCTTTGGTTCCCCATGTTTGCACACACTATGCAGAATTCACAATGAAATACAGCTCCTCATAAATCTCTGACTCCACAGAACCCAGGAGTGCAGCAGCCACCACCATTCCCAAAATTCTGTCTCCCTGCCAGCTACCTAGGCTGGGGCTCCCTGGGTTTTAATTAACACCAGTCTTTCCTGTCTGGCAACAATTCATTCACTATATCCTGCAGCAAGAGGGAGACAGATTTAAACTGTTTCATATAAATTCTCTTTTATCTTTTTTTTTTCTCCCCAAAAAGAAGAAATCCATTGTTCTGATTAGTAGACAGGATTTAATATCAACCATTCTGGAACAAAAATAATTAAATTAGTCAACAATAAAATGAAATGGCAGTAGCTAAAGATGGCCAAAAAAGCAGAGAAGTGATAGAGGAGAAAAGCAGAGATAGAAAAGAATGAGGCCCTTAAGTTCCAGAGGATTAACTCTCACCAGGGAAAATTAGTTTGGGAAGTTCTTAACAGAAAGTACTAGGTTAAAATGGCAGGACTATTTGAGTCACTTAACCTGACTCAATAAGTGAATAATGTCACTGCATAGTACTGAGATTTGGAGAAAAAAATTAAATTTCCAAACCTGACACAAAAATGGTTGGAAATATGATTTTGCAGATAAACCAGAAATTTCAATTTCCCATTTTTTGATTTAACAAGATAAAGATTTCAACATTTTTGAAATTCATTTGTGAGCAAGTCAGGTTATAAAACCCAGACATTGTCACCATTGTGGGAACAATAAATCCCAGCAGCCCATTTCCCCACAGAATGAGCATTACTGAAGTATTTCCAAGAGAGAAAATAGGAAAACCTCTTTTCTCTTCCACTCTCATGCTTTGTGGGATGAAGATTTATTCACACTGAAAACCTCCAACATAATCCTGCCTTTAATGATATCCTAAGGACACTGCTGTATTCCAGACATGGGAATGGTGTTAAATAAACCAGAGAGGGGAACATGTTCTCCTCAGAAGGACACAGAACAAATCTGTGTAGTCAATAATTCCTCTCTCACATGGAGACAGATCCCAGCCTCCTCTATCAGTGTCAGCTCAGGTCCTCAAGGGAAGGAGCACTCATTTCTAGGAATGTTTGCCTTGGGTTTGTATAAAAATGGGATCAAAAGTATCAGTGGTCTATCCTATTTAGCACATGCTTTAGTGTTTACTCACAAACCAGCCATCCATTTTTTAAAGGACTATAAATTAGCATTTAAATTAATTGCTGCCTCAATATTCAGGAGCTGCTGAATTTTTACAAGCGAGGTCGCATTCTGACCCATCATTTATTCTGCAGCAAGCAGCCAGGGGAGCTGTAAAATAAACCCCAAGGAGATCCTGAAAGATGTCCTAGAAGGCCCGTGTGTGCATTTCTGCACATGGAAGCACTCCAAAACACAATAAAGCAAAACAAACCCTTGTGCTTGTTATCTTTGGGGGAAAAAATAAAGAAACAAGGAAAAAAAAAATCAACCAACAGCCCTTTATAGTGTCTGTCATGTTTTACCAAAGAGATGCTGAAATGTTCCTTGTGTTGTCCTGTCTGCAACAGCTGTGGGGCATCTCCTACCCTGTGGTCCACCACGTATGGACATGGAAAAACAAATCAGAGCATGGTGTTTGTCTGTCCTCATTCCTTTCTGACAGGCAGGGGAAGGAAAGGAAAAGGAAAAAATAATATAAAACATGAGCAAGCTTCTGATGCAAGATAGGCAGAAACTAAATCTTGCTGCAACAGCCTTTCAACAAATATTTTTCTCTTGTCTATGGCTGGGGAGAAAAAAATGACATTCAATAAATCAACCTGATTCAGCCTAAGCAACAACAGACCAGCAGAAAATTGTTTTGAGGGCAGAAGCCATCCAGAGCAGCAATTACAGACTGAGTTAGATCTCCTCTGGGACTCAACAACAGCCAGAGTGTGGAGTTTCTCTCTCCCTCTCTTGCCTGTGCACGTTTCCTCTCTCTTTTGCTGTCCTAGGGGTCTGTGTCATCTCAGGGAGTGTAGAACCATGCTGCATAATTAAAGTAGTCATGCTGAGCTTTGGGATGCCATCCAGAACCCACCTGGGGACACCAGCTCAGGAAGCACAACAGGAAGGGAGTTCCTGTCCACCAGATCCA